CCTCTCTCTGTCTCCCCCCCCACCCACTCTCCTTCCCCGCCAGTCCTCTCCTGTCCCTTCTCTCTCCCCCTACTTTCTGCCTGAGACTGAGGGTTTCTCCCCAGTCCCAGCTCGTCCCTCCCGCCTGGCACTGGCTTTCCTAAAGTACTCCTTTAGAAATGCCTCTCCAGAGGTTGGGAGGCTCAGGGCAGTGACACCAGTTCCAGAAACCATCTGCCAGGATCAGCGACCAGCTCTCCAGTTTGGGTGAAATTTTCTGTCCCCAGAATGAGACTGGACACACTGAAGACTGTTCTTAAAAGAGGGGAGGTCTCCAGCCACCTCGCCACCCCTCCCCATGCTCAAGGGCTCTCTGACGGATCAGAGCCTCGGCACCCCACCCCCCAACAACAGGTCACCCTGAGATTCTGAGAGGTTCCAGCAGCACCTGTGTTTTCGGGCGTCCCAGGTGATGCGAGCCAGGCCTGGAGACCTGCTCTGCCAGGCTGAGTCTCAGACGTGGCTTTTCTAAGACTGCAGACACAGCTGGTGCTGGCCCTTCACTCTCTCCAGCTGAGGCTTTTGTTCCAGGATTTTTGCATTGAGAACCTGCTGTGTGCAAAACCCAGGGCTCAGTGCTGTGGCCCTGGAGACACAGGATTCTGGGCAGGGCGGTCCAGCCAGGCTGTTGGGTGCTGACTCCTGGGGACCATTAAGAACCAGCACCCAGACACCCTCTCCCAGCGCTGTCACCCTGAGCAGAGGCCTGCCCAGGGGCTCGGAGATGCTGCTTCATTCAAGACTGGGGTGGGGTTGGGGTGGTGGTCCAGCCTGATGCTGGGCACTGTCACATCCCTGGGTTTTACCGGAGCTGCCACCTGGCTTCCAGGCAGTGAGCTGGACTTCAGGAGGATGGTTGTGGGGCAGGAAGAGGTCAAAGGTGAAGTGATGGCCAACCTCAACTGCCAGAGTTCCTGGTAGCAGGACTGGTGGATGCTGGGTCTAGCAGCAAGTGTACTGGGCAGTGTGGGTATCAGCTCTGGGTGACCATAGGGTGATGGGGTGTGTGGGGATGGGAGTTTGGTCTCTGGAGGCCCCAGTGATTAGCCATGTGACCCCTCTGTGCCTCAGTTTCCTCATCTGCCATAACACTACAGGCTGTGGTGAACACAAGCTGGGTTAGTCCCTGTGGAGAGCTTGGGGCACCAGAGGCAGGTGCTGGGTGGCCAGTTCCAACAGGAAGGGGTGGGCAGCTGGGGCATCTCTGCCCCAGCCCCTCGGGGTGGTTGTCTATGGTGAGTAAGGCTGGTGGGTGAGGCAGGCCCTGGGCTGCTGTGCTGGGGGCCTCAGTGGGGACCTAGTGGACTGATTCTGGGTCTTGGTTGCTCTGGATTTATTGTCTCGGGACAAAAGCTTTGTTTATAAAGACTTGCTTGATGGAATTCAGATAACCTTGATGGGGAAGCCAGCTGTGCTAGCACCAAGCAGAACCCAGCCGTGCTAGCACCAAGCAGAACCCATACCTCAGTTGTTGGGGATGTTTCCGAGTTGTTCAGATTTCTTTTTATAAGCTCTGAACTCTTGGGCAGGTCAAATATCAGTAGATTTTCCCTGCAACTTCCAATGTGTTTGGCAAGGGTGTGACTCCTCAGAGTTTTAGTGAAAATAAGGTGGACCTGGAGTTAGTCCCTTCTCTCCATTGGGATGTGGGGGCAGTGCTGGCTCGTGTTTCCCTGAAGGAGGTGGTGTCGTGCAGGGTCCTTTGGTTTCCCCTTCACCTGTAAAGGTCCAGCCCGATGAGGGTGACTAGGAATCCCTGAGCCATTTCCAGCCAGTGAGGTTCAAATCCCATTTTTGGATGAATGAGAAAAGGTGGTAACATCATGTGATTTGGTTTTCAAAAAAAAAGAGAAATGTGCCTAGAATTACGATGTAGTGGCTCTGGAGGTGGCCCAGGTCTCTCTCCAGGATTTAAGAGTGGCCTTCGATTATTGCTACCTTGCGCCATGGAGGTCTGGGGAAGGTTTGCCTGGGTCCTTTACTTTACTGAAGCTGCGGGGCTTGAACCGGATGGGCTGTGTCCACGCCCCGCCCACCCCTGGGGCCACTTTGGGCACAACTCAGTCTGCTGCCCGAGTCGGTGCAGCTGTCCGGCTTCCCACTGGAGGGCGCTTTCCGATGCTGTGGCTTGTTCTTCCCACCCCCGGGTAGATCGGGTAGATCGTCTTCTCTGCACGGAGGAGACGCAGTGGTCATTTTTAAAAACTGTTAGTGGTTCTGTTTTTTTTGTGTGTGGGAGGCCGTCATATTGTCTTTGGGGAAAATTTCATTAATCAATAATACGGTTAATCAATAATCAGTATTTAATTGGACTCAAGTATGCCCTTGGGGACAGACATCTGTGTTCTCTTTGCCCAGGGACATCCTGATCACCAGCGTGGACCCTGCGACAAGCTTCGAGGAGCTCTGCGCGGAAGTGAGAGACATGTGCAGCCTGCACCAGCAGCACCCGCTCACCCTCAAGTGGGTGGACAGCGAAGGTAGCACCTCATCCGTCCCTGAGGGTCAGGCTGGGGACCTCACCGGCTCTGCCAGAGTGGCCTCCACATGCACAGAGCCTGCTTGGCCTCCTCTGCGGGGAGATTTGAAACCACAGAATTAAACTTGCTGGGAACAACTTTCCATAGTTGGGACGGATGAGAGAGATTGGCTGCAAGTCCTTAAACAGAAAGCAGGCTGGTGGAGAGGGTGGCCCTGCAATGCCCCGTAGATGTCCCCGTCACGTGACAGACTCTGGTCTGGAACACAGGCAGGGGGCTGCAGGGGTCTCCTGGACACCAGCTGGGGCAGGTCCTTACCTCCTCACCTGAGCTTCCTTTCTCCTTTCCTGGGCTTTGCTGGCAGGGACTTTGGCAGGATGAGCTCTTTGTTTTTCAGGGGACAGGGGCAAGTGTGGCCTGGGCCCTGCAGTGTCCCCTCCTCTCCCTCCCCGTCCTTCTGTCCTCTCTGTCTCTCCTCCCCCCTTCTCCTCCTCCCCCTTCTCTCTTGCAGACAGACACACATCCTAGAATCCCGGGGGCTGGGTGACAGTCCAGGAGAGACCCCGTTGTCCTGCGGGGTGTTGATTCTGTGCATCTCTCTGTCCCGGTCCAGCAGTAGAGGGCGAGAGAACGTCCTCCGTCTAGGACCCACCTGGAATGTTCTTCATCTCATCGACTGCTTAGCTCTCAGGGCTGTGGCGAACATGTTTCCCTTTTGGGGACTGGTTGCTCTGACATGGTGACTGTGGTCTGGGGGCCTTGCTGATCTGAATGGCCGTTCTTGGACCTCCCGACCCTTCCCTGGGTGGTGGGACACAGTGGTGAGACTTTGCCCATGCACGCTCCCGTGTGACGTGCTGAATGAGCACTGTCTCAGACGCATGTCTTCGGCCCGCAGTGGCCTCAGTGATGTCTCTTGCCCCTAGGCGACCCCTGCACTGTGTCCTCCCAGATGGAACTGGAGGAGGCCTTCCGTCTGGCCTGTCAGCACAGGGACGAAGTGCTCGTCATTCACGGTCAGTACCGGTGCTCTGCGGAGATAGGGCGCTCTGGGGGGCCCTCCTTGGCTGTGGGCATCTTTGCCAGACCCCCTGGGGGATTGGAAGTCACATAGGATCATGGTTAAGGTCTTACGATGCTAGGGAATTCAAGGATGTCAGATATTATGCCATCTGGGTTCGTTTCTTCCTTCTGACGTGTTATTAACCCAGGTGAGACCCCCTCTTGCTGCTGGAGTCAGCCAGCTGGGTGCAGCACAGTGGCTTCTTGCTGCACGCAGGGCGTGGGTTCTGGTTCTCGGTCCTCCTCGCCCTCATTTCCTGGGCTGGGCCGGCCCACAGCACAGGTGGGCAGAGTGGGGACAGCCTGGCAGCCTCCTCACTGTGTGAGCCCCCGAGCCTGCCCAGGCTCCCAGATTTCCTTATCCTTTAAGGCTCAGAGCTAGGTTATGAACCGAGTCGTGGGAGGTATTTGTGGTCATTTCAGTGTCAGTCTTTAGTTTGCGTGTTTTTAGACTGTGCTCCCTGACACTTTTGGGGGTCTGCAGGGTGTCTGTGTGGCCGCCATGGGCAGAGCCACTCTGTGTCCACTCCTGATGCAGGGGTTTGGGCATGGACCACTGAGCCCAAAAGATGGGACCAGAGCTTGCAAATGCTCACACGGTTTTCTATCGGATCTGTCGTTCTCCCTGACACTGGGATAGCTGGTTAAAATATCCAATGTTTGTAGCTCTTTATATAAATGTGTTTTAAAATTTATCTATTTATTTATTTTATTTTATTTTATTAATATTATTTTTGTACATATGGTTTTAAACTTAAAGCCTGACCGAGTCCACTTGCTTATTGTGACGGTAAGCACCCTTGCTTTGCATCTCTCCGTCGAAAGCTCTGGTGCTTTAAAAACCCACTTAATTTTCTAGATGAAGGAAAAGTTTGCCTTAGCTAAGTTTTGATACTTTCTAAGCTTCTATTTTAATAATTCGTTGTGGAAGCTCAGGGCATATGTTAAAATATTTGATTTTGAACTCTGTTTTGAGTGTAGAGAAATGGAATCTAACTTCCTTTGAAAAGCCAGTTTTCAAAGGAGTTGTGGTTCCTTCCTGTTTCCGTATTAATTTGTCAATACAGGTTAGTAGTTTTCCTCTGACAGCTTTGCTGTCTGGACCCCTCTGATTGCTTTTTCCCAGAACTTTTCAATGAACTTTAAAGTCTTACAAAGTGGCATGTGGCAGACAGAGACGTACTTGGGTTTCGAGGTTTCGCCTTCCCGTGGCCTCCCGAGAGCAGGCTCCCGCTGGCGAGCAGGTGGGCTCTGCCGAGA